GCTTGATAAAAAAGTCAAATAAAAATAAGTCAAGGTAATAACTCTTTCTAGACCTCACTAACAAGTTATGGGCATGCACATAAAACAGACCTTTTTCCTTTACAAAACCTTCAGAATACCATATTAGTCTCACCTCTCGGCAGGCTTTAAGTTCTTCAAACTCCCTTGTGGTCCAGTGCCTGTCCTTGAAGAAGTTAGTGGTATTTCTCTTGTAAAAAAGGTCCCAGTTCTTCTGCGCTTCTCTCTCCAATTTCAACTGTTTAAACTCAGAGACCAGTTCTCTGTCATTCTGTAGCTTGGCAGCCTCTTCCGTGGTAAGAATTCTAACCTGGTGCTCCTTTTTTTGGAAAGGTGCTTCTGAACAGCAGTCATTTTTAATCCTACTGAGGTCTTTGTCTTCTATATTTGTGTCCATGGAGACACTAGTGTTAAAAATTAGGAAGTTAGAATAGATAAATGGATGCATTTACTCATCTACATAAATTTCATAGCCGAGATTCTAGGCCAGGATTCCTCAAACTCCGGCCCTCCAGATGTTGCTAAATTACAACTCCCGTGATTCTATGAATGAAATAGGCTGAGAATCATGGGAGTTGTAGTTCAGCAACATCTGGAGGGCCAGAGTTTGGGGAAGTCTGTTCTAGGCCCTAGAATACGGTTTTGGCAAAAGTTGGTTTTTATTGTCCTAGGCTTTACATTCATAACCCATGCTACCTAATATAACTATTCAGACTGTGGGGGCCTCTTCAAAAAGTGGGTATTTGGCTAATATCAACATTACAAATTAAAGGGAAACAATTGTGTAAAATTACCCTTTTTAATGTACCGTGTAGATAATGTATTAGAAAATTAATGGAATCCATGGTATTTTGAAAACCGTTTTTGGGTGCTTAGATCTCTTATTCTCATCTATCTAGAGATGGGAATGCACCGCACCAAAGTTGAAGCGCTTAGGGGTCTGGAGTGCCTCTTTAAAGTAAATCAGTGTTTTTGTTCTGTTTCGTACTATGAATCACTAGGAGCATTAAAGGGACACTATAAGCCAAAACTAATTTAGCTTAATCACTTTGTTCATGCAGCTCCAGCCACACCTCCCTGCATGTGACCAACACAGCCTCCCTTCACATTTCCTGTCAAGAGAGATCTAATGTTTAAACTTCCTTTAGGTTTAAACTCCTGGTCTGCTACAGCCTGCAGGAGCCCCCTATGGGTGGCCGAAATTCAATTAACAGAGCAATAGATAAAGTAAACACACTGTGCAGATAATTTTTTAATGTAGGTTGTGTGACGCACAGATTAGGGCTGCACAAATAGAAACAAAATTGATTTAACTTCTTAAAAGGACACGCCAATCCGTTTTAGTAGATATATCCCAAATAAAAACTTGCATGCCATTAAATTATGTATTTTTAATTGGGGTAAATCTAAAAATAGCTTGCAAAACCTGCATACCTCTTGTCTGCTCCCTTTGCAAGCTCTCCCCTTCTAACCCCGGCCAGACTTTCGGTGGCTGTCCAATCAGACTTCCCAATACAGCTCAATGAGAAGTGTCTGTAGGTCAGGTGCTCTGGGCAATTGCTGCCTTTTGAGGTCTGCCTGCATTTAGCCAAAGAAACCAGGAAGTGACATTACCGGCTGGCTGCTTGAAAGCCAAGGGGTTGTATATAGGTTAATTTATAAAAGTGTCAATTTCTATGATGAGAATTTTTTTTTATTTTTTTTTAACTTCACACAAAGCTTTTCAGCACCCTAAAGTTGTTTAGGGGTTTGGAGTGACACTTTAATGACAGAGAATTGAGCAGTGAGGCTGCAGGGGCATGATCTAAACACCAAAACTACTTAATTAAGCTAAAGATGTTTTGGTGCCTAGAGTATCACTTTAAAAGAGGCAAAATTATGTTCTTAGTATTGTTACATTGATGGTTTCTTAGTTTTTTTTGATGGGGTGTCTGTTCTTATGTACTGGGAAAAGAGCTCCATTATTGCTCACATGTTCTTAACATATCCAGACCTTGTAATAAAAGAAAATATAATGCAAAACGCTAATTTAGTTTATGTACTGAGTAAGCTGCACTTTTATTTCAATATTAATATATTTACACATAATATTCCCAACGTAACAAAATGACTTTGTTTTTATGAGTTCTCCACTCTGCATTTTTTTAAATATTTTTTCTGAAAAATTAAAACATTTTCTGGGTGGGAAAAAAACAAAAACCTTTTTCCCCATGGCTTTGGAAATTTCGAGAACCGTTATATTTCTAGGTCTATCTCAAATCTACTTAAAAATTTGACCGGAAGTGTTACGTGGTGTTTTTGGTTGATCTATTACACCTGAATATGCACAAGCATATTTATTTATTACTGGTATTTATAAAGCGCCAACAGATTCTGGAGCACTGAACAATTCATAATACATGTACAGATATCCTCTCCCACCTTTTCTTTAACCCAACCTAACTGGGCTGAACCCGGCAGTCATCCAAACACAAAGCATCCCTCCATAGTCATGCCAAAAAAAAATTGTTAGCCAGACTAACACCACCAAAAATATGAACAGTGGTTGAACAACTATATGTTTTTGCATGTCAGGTGAACTGGGGAAGTAATCCAGACTATGGTATAGTTCAGTGGTTCCCAACCCAATCCTCAAGTACCCCCTACCAGTCCAAGATTTAGGAATTACCCAGTTGTATCTAAGGGTAATTACAATAGGGTAATCCCTAAATCCTGGACTGGAAACCCCTTTTATCCGAATAAAAAATTTTTCTTTCTTTTTTTTTTTTTTTTAAATACGGATTTAGGAGTTTACGTACTAAACTAATAACTGTGACAGAGGAATTGACCATTTTCCCACCTTGACTAGTTTAGTCTAAATTTTGCAAATTGGAGATTTATTTAAATAGTTTTGTTCTATTTTTTTTATAAGTCCCTTGTCAATTGTGCATAATATCTGTGCAAGTAAATAAACACAAGTGTAAAGATGGGTAGTTTGACACTTGTGTCACTGGAAATGTATGAGGGCTCTATACATAATAAATGAAATGTTTGATTCTTTTGGTGCTGAAGTTATCTTCTTATTCAAAGGCAGTAGTTAGATTCCTACTCAGGTTTGCTTCTTGCGGATCTAGTTTCTTTTTACATGAAAATGTTTTTTTACTAAACAACAATCCGAGAAGTTTTTAAAACAATTTAATCTAGCCTGCGCTAATTTTGAATCATAAAATATAGCACCGAATGTGGAAAAACAATGGGGCATGCTGAATAAGGAACTAAGCATCTCCTCTAAGAAAATTGGGTACACCCAAATTTAGCTAGTTTTCTACTAAATAGGCATCCCGCTATAGAGGAAAAAGTTAAATCTGGGCTGAGCTAAGTGATAAAACACGGCACCAAACCTGGCACCCTGACATCTATAGTCCAAGGATAGTCCCATATGCTCTTACAGCGATAATGCTGGCTAAGAAACCAAGTTTTTCACTATATGAAAATCAGATTTTGCATGTTTTCTAATAATTGGGCATCTCATTTTCATAGGAAAAAAAAAAAAAAAATCATTCTAACTTGGGGTATACAAATAAGGGGCAAACGTGGGTCATCCAAGATGGTTCTCAAAAAGGAAATGCATGGATGTTAGGGTGGCAGGATTATGATCAATATTACCTGGGTGACCAGAATAAACTTTTTCTATAGAGGTATGCACATTTAGTAGAAAAGAAGACAAATGTTGGTAAGCCAAGATAGTTTTCAGAAGAAAAGCCTGGTTCCTTATTCAGGTAGCCACATTTTTAAAACAATATTCTATGATTATGATCAACATAATTTGGCTTGTGCTAGACTGAACTTTTTCAAACTTTTTAGATTGTTATTTAGCAAATACAGTAATCACTGGATGAATAAGAAGTCAAACGAAATAAAAAGCTTATAGGAGCACTATAGTGCCAGGAAAACAAACTTGTTAGATTTATTTTATTAGGTCCCCCGCAAACCTCGTGCCCCCTCCCACTGGGCTAAAGGGATGAAAATGTTCTCCCTCAGCGCTGGTGACCTCTCCTCCCCCTGCTGACATCAGCGCTGAATGCACATGTGTGGCAAGAGCCGTGCGTGCATTCAAACTGCCCATAGGAAAACATTACTCAATGCTTTCCTATGGACATCAGTGTCATCTTCACAGAGAATCGCGGAAGCAGCTGTCAATGAGACAGCCACTAGAGGCTGGATTAACCCTCAGTGTAAACATAGTTTCTCTGACACTGCTATCTTTACAGCAGGCAGGGTTAACCCTAGCTGGACCTGGCACCCAGACCACTTCATTAAGCTGAAGTGGTCTGGGTGCCTATAGTGGTCCTTTACCTTCTGCCTTGGAATAACATGCTTAAAGAATAAGAAACAAACTTCACTATCGGGATTCTTTTACCTCCTGTAACTCTGATATGCAGGTACTCTGTCACTCTATATATTTTTGCTATTTATGTAGCACCGACGTGTTCCGCAATATACGGTAATAAAAAAGGGGAAATTTAACAATAAGACAATTACAAAAACTGTACACAGGACCCCGCTCAACCCATAGGCTCAGTCAGCCTTCTGACAGGCGGAGATATCGTGCCGTGCTACACACAGCCACACTGTGAGCCATGCTGTGAGCCACCCACACTGTGAGCCACACTGCGAGCCACCCACACTGTGAGCCATACTGTGAGCCACCCGCACTGTGAGCCACCCGCACTGTGAGCCATACTGTGAGCCACCCGCACTGTGAGCCATACTGCGAGCCACCCACACTGCGAGCCATACTGCGAGCCACCCACACTGCGAGCCATACTGCGAGCCATACTGTGAGCCACCCACACTGCGAGCCATACTGCGAGCCATGCTGCGAGCCACCCGCACTGTGAGCCATACTGTGAGCCATACTGCAAGCCACCCACACTGTGAGCCATACTGCGAGCCACCCACCCTGTGAGCCATACTGCGAGCCACCCACCCTGTGAGCCACACACACACACTGCGAGCCATACTGTGAGCCACCCACACTGCGAGCCACCCACACTGCGAGCCACCCACACTGCGAGCCATACTGTGAGCCACCCACACTGCGAGCCATACTGTGAGCCACCCACACTGTGAGCCAGGGCAGACAGGCTCCAGCACGCCAGATGTAGGGGACTATACAGTCCGATGCTGCGCCTGCAATAAGAGCATTATGGGAGATGTAGTCCACAAACCCTGGAGTGCCCCCGCACACAGCCCGCGGAATGGACACAAACTTCGGATTGTATTAACTAAGACAGCACCAAACAAATCCCATGATGCTTTGCTACCGTTCCTGCACACACAGCATCACGGGAGATGTAGTCCATCAATGAATGAGAACGGCCCGGGAATCGCTGATATCTCCCACCGCAGTATCGGTACGCGGCCGGCCCAAACCGGAAGTTACCTCCGCGGCTCACGGCGACACTCCTGCACTGCAGTACTCTATGGTCCTGACGTCACTAAAGATGTGGGCGTTACCTGCAAAAAGGAAAAAGCCCCGCCCCCCTGCGGAGACAGTCAGTGCGCATGCGCCTTGAGCTCCGGGTCGGATGCACTGGACGCACCTTACTGTTTATTACTGATTGACGGGACGTTAGAGTTTCGGTTGTGACGCGAGAAGCCGAGCTCGTCAGCCATGAACGGGACCCCGCCCCCTCCGCCGCTGGACCGGGAGGAGCACGGGCTGAGACTCGGGGAGAGCTTTGAGAAGAAGCCTCGCTCCTCCTTCCACACAGTGCGATGTAAGTAACCTATAGAGCCCTCATTGGGGCTCGTCCAATCAGGGGAGCCGCCTGTGACGACACGCCACGCCCCCTCTCAGCTTTGTTCTGTACACAGAATGAGGGTCACGTGAGGGCAGTAACTAAAGGGGGTCATTCACTAAACAGTGCATTGAAAATCCCATGTCAGAGTTTAGCCTGTTGTAGCCAAGCTGTAATAATGGCTGAGTTGGGGATTTATTTATTTAAATTTTTTTATCCAAATCAGCACCTTTTTGTTTTGCCTAAATTCTATTATTCAGTGTTTCATAAAAAAACACATTGGAGTTTATTCAGTTAAACTTAGAATTGCTGAAAATAGAAAATCTAATCACAATCAGTAAATTTGCATTTGGACTTTTTTTTCACAACAATTTACTGCTTTGGGGGTTTATTCACTAACTTTAGAACTTTAGTGAATTTGGAATCCACACAGCTAACACTAAAGTAGCCTAGTTGAACTTGGGAGGGCCACTCTTCTAAATCAGCGATCTTGGCCTGTATGTGAAATGGTAAAGGGTGTATGATATTGAATATGAAATAAGAATGTTGGACATTTTTATGCAGCTGGGAGTATTAAACTGATATTTTAGATGTTGAAGGGGCATTAAAAAGGAGAATGAGCAGTAAGTCAATTCATGGAATTAGCTGGTAGGTAGTTGGATTAGGACCACAAAATTTGGGGACCTTCTAGCGCTAGAGTTCTGGGACAAGACATCTAGGCATTCCCTGGTCCTGTAATTATTGTATCAGAGAGCTTAATGAATGGACCATTATATGTTACCCAACAACCCACATGTGAATGAAGGATTGGACAAAGGGGTAAGAGCCAATTGTCAGGGCCCTACCTGGTTGTCATTACATATTATTTGACAAGTTGTTTATTGGGGCAACTGAATAATATGTCAGTTTTGTCCCCTTTTTGCAGGATTTTATGTTTTTCTTCAATGGGACTCAATGTACACCCCCTTGGGTTATTTGTGTGTATAGTATATTGTTGTGTGTTTTATCTGAGTAGTTTTGTTTCATGCTGTGCTTTGCAATTTGGAGCAGTAGTGCCCTGTCTTATGCCCCCTTTTTGCATATTAAAAACTAATATTTAATTGTTAAATCTTTCTCTCTCCAGATGACTTCAAGCCAGCATCTATAGATACTTCTTGTGAAGGTGAGCTTCAAGTTGGAAAAGGAGATGAAGTAACAATTACTTTGCCACACATACCAGTAAGTAATTTTTTTCATAAACCCTGTATAGTATTGATTTAGGTCCATTGTTGATTGTGCAGTATATTGCCACTAAGTTCAAGCTGTTTTCTAAGTGGCGTGAACAGGAAAAGTTATCATCATCAAATATCGTATGAAAAGCTTTTAACAGATATTTTCCTTGTCACATTACGTGGTACTTTGGAGCTGCTTTTAGTTTTTTTAGTTTTTTTTCCCAATTTGACAGTTTTTATTTTGTCGCAACAAAATGGTTACAGAAGAAAGAAAAGGGGGTTATGGCGGTTCAGGTTTTACATATCCTGTACATTAATTCCATTGGGTCTATTAGGTCTATACATCAAGTTCTCTTCTTATACATTCGAAACAGGCATTGCAAGATGTACATTTCTCCCACCTTTCCCCTAATGTGTCATCTTGTGCTGCCTCGCAGCCCCCCGAGTTGGGGATTTGTTGCCAGATTATCTGGTGGGAGGGTTTTTTTTTCTTTTTTTTAATATGAATAAAATCCTTCCAGGTAAACTGACTTTCTGTGAGAAGATTGTGTTGAGCATCAAAATGTTTTAGGGCAGTAATAGCCCTGCAACAAACAGTAGGTTAACATACCTTCCAGCATGTCAAAGGGACAAAATAGACAGTTTAATTTTAGGGATGTGAGTGGGGGTTCAAAAACAGTTTATTGAACTAAATTTTAACGTAGAACAATGTATCTTAATTTCACATTGTAGTTTAAAGATCGATTGCTGTCAGTATTATTACATTGGAGATCAGTTATACACACCAACTATGCTTCTATAAAAGAGGGGCATTAAGACAAAAAAGAGGGACAGAGTGATTTGAGCCCCATAATAAGGTCTGCTCCTCCTAAATAGGGACACTTTGGATGTATGGTTAACTCCGATTGGAGTAAGCATTGAGCCGGGGGAAAACAGGGAGTCACACATGAAACCTATAGAAGCACAAGAAGTATGCATATTGTGTCAAGAGAAGGAGTGGTGTTAACCCGGAAGCTGGGATATTGAGTTAGGGAAGGTATGTTAAAAGGGCTTTCATATGATCATCTCTGATTCTGAGCCGGCTATCAAGCTCTACTGAACCATCTGGGCTAGATGCTCTAATAATGGTTGGGCAGAGAGACCTTGACTAGTTTTAAGACATTAAAAAAAGAGGTCTGACAAACTACAGTGTTTCTTGTGCCAGACACCGTGAAAGATGGCTGCTAGTATCACTAGGGAGAGGCATGAATTGAGAGATAAAGGCTCTTGGATACGTTATATATCTTTGCTTACATGGGTAGTACTGTTGTATTTGTGAGACATCACAGTACACAAATATGTGTATTCTATTGCAGTAAATCTAACAGTTTCATAACATTAACTGTTAAAATGTTATGCAGAACTTGAAAAATAAAAAAGAATTCTTAATTTCTTAAACTTTTTTTCATATTTTATTTATATAAAATCATGTTTCATATATACATATTTGATGTGAAACAAAAGCCCAATTTCTCCTGAACCAAATTATATATACTAGGCGTGGGTGCACTTAATATGAAAGCCGTAAATTATGGTTGAACATGCGTATAGCACAAATTCTAGGTTTTGTTTTGGTTCAGAATTAGGACAATTGCCTCTGTCCTTAATGGGTTAATGAAGCCATTATGGTGTATAGATCATGCCCCTGCAGTCTCACTGCTCATTAATTCATCTTTTTTATGCAGCCTTAGTCACACCTCCCTGCACAGCCTTCCTAAACTCTTAGAAATGCTAGGTTCCTTTATTGCACATTCTATTTAATTGAGGATTTCTTATCTTCTGCCCTGTTAATAGCATTCTAGACCCTGCAGCAGCCCCCTGTGTGTGATTAATGTTCATTTATAGAGCAGGAGATACAAACTTCTAAAGTAAGCTACATCTAATTGAAAATGAAACCATGATTTTCCTACAGGCTGTGTAAGTCACAGCCAGGGGAGGTGTAGAAAAGGTTCTATGGACAGAAAAAAAAAAAAGTGATTAAACTCCTAAATAGCAGAGAATTGAGCAGTGAGACTGCAGGGGCATGATCTATATACTAAAACTGGTTTGTTAAACTAAAGTTATTTTAATGCCTATAGTGTCCCTTTAACCCCTTAAGGACCAAACTTCTTAAATAAAAGGGAATCATGACGTCACTCATGTCATGTGTCCTTAAGGGGTTAAAGAACAGTTTTTATGACAACATAGACTGTGATTAGTCCTAAATGAGTTGATCTCGAATATTCACATTTTGGAGCACCGAACACTGTTGCTTAGATATTGTTGCTGTGGCGACATTGCAAAAGGTCTTTATGGCATGATTTTTAGAAATTGGGACATTACACTAGAAGTGCGGGAAGCAATTACATAAATTGTATGTATCCGCAGCAAACCAATAAATTAACCACAAAATATAATCCATCAACCTACATCTGAAATACACATTTTGCCTGCTCCAATATCTCATTTGATTTGTATTCTGTATACTTTATGCAAAGTGCTAAAAATACTTGCCCCATTAATGGGTGTGGCTTGTATTAACAAGTGGCCATCATGTGAGCCATACAGTTGCCTAGCTCGCCATAATTGGGAGTGGGGGGTGAGGGCGTAGCTGTGAGAAATAAAGAAATAGTGTCGGTTAAAGGGACTCTCCAGTGCCAGGAAAACAATCCATTTTCTTAGCACTGCAGGTCCCCTCTCCCTCCCACCTCCCATCCCCGGTTGCTGAAGGGGTCAAAACCCCTTCAGTGACTTACCAGAGGCAGCGACGATGTCCCTCGGCGCTGCTTCTTGGTCCGCCCACGCTCCTCCCAGTCACCACGTCAGCCGGCAATACACCCTGTTCCAAATTATTATGCAAATGATATTTTTCTCATTTAGCTAAATAATTGATGTAAATAACAGTCAGCATAATTCTCATGTTATCAACTATTAAGAGTACAATTCAAATTTTATTGAACAAACCTCCTAATGATAACAGTATTTTTTTAAAACATAAAAAACTTACAATGCACTGTTCCAAATTATTACGCACAGTAAGTTTCAAAACACTTTATAGGTTGTAAAGAACTGAAAATTGTCATTTGTTGTGTTTGCAGCATATTTACTGAAATAAAAAACTATTTCAGTCAAACTTATAACATTTTAACAGGTCACATTACATTTTAACATAGGACCCCTTATTTGATAGCAGCTGCACAAGTCTTGCATCAATTGAACTGAGTTTTTGGACAGTTTCTGCTTGAATTTGTTTGCAAGATGTCAGAATAGCCTCCAAGAGCTGCTGTTTGGATGTAAACTGCCTCCCACCCTTATAGATCTTTTTGCTTGAGGATGCTCCAAAGTTTCTCAATAGGATTGAGGTCAGGGGAGGATGGAGGCCACACCATGACTTGCTCGCCTTTTATCCCCATAGCAGCCATTGACGCAGAGGTATTCTTTGCAGCATGAGATGGTGCATTGACATGCATGAAGATGATTTTATTACGGAAAGCATAGTTCTTCCTTCTGTACCAGGGAAGAAAGTGGTCAGTCAGAAACTCCACATACTTTACAGAGGTCATCTTTACACCTTCGGGGACCCTAACGGGGCCGACCAGCTCTCTTGCCATGATTCAGGCCCAAAACATGACTCCACCACCGCCTTGCTGGCGTCGCAGCCTTGTTGGAACAGGGTGGCCGTCCACCAACCATCCACTACTCCATCCACCTGGACCATCCAGGATTGCACGGCACTCATCGGTGAACAGGACTGTTTGAAAATTAGTCTTCATGTATTTTTCTGCCCAGTGCAGCCGTTTCTGCTTGTGAGCATTGGTTAGTGGTGGCCAAATAGAAGGTTTATGCACAGTTGCAAGACTCTGGAGGATTCTACACCTCGATGTCCGTGGGACTCCAGAGGCACCAGCAGCTTTAAATATCTGTTTGCTGCTATGTAATAGTATTTTAGCAGCTGCTCTCTTGATCCGATGCATGGATCTGGCAGAACCCGTCTGTGCTCTGAATCAGCCACAAATCTCTTAATAGTGCGATGATCATGCTTAAGTTTTCGTGAAATATCTAATGTTTTTATACCTCGTCCAAGGCATTGCACTATTTCACTCTTTTCGGCAGCAGAGAGATCCTTTTTCTTCGCCATATTGCATGAAAATGGTGCTCTGCTTAATGTGGAACACAGTCTTTTAGTAGTTGTTCCTTAAATTGGGCTCACCTGGCAATCTAATTATCACAGGTGTCAGAGATTGTTTTCAGTGATCAAAAGAGCCCTGAGACACAATGCCATCCATGAGTTAAACTGAAAAACTAAATATTTAATCTTTGTGACAATTAAATAGAATTTGCATAATAATTTGGAACAGGGTGTATATGCACATAGTAATTAATTGAAACAATCAAAGAAAACAAAATAGAACATGGAAATACACAGAAAGGGGATACGAAAAACCCTAAAGCAGAGAAGCCTCACATGTTGTGCAAAATAATTGATTTTAAAGTCCACAGATCAAATCATTGTGAAATATTTTGTGTCCTGGTTGTTTTCCAAAACCCTAGCAGTACTATATGTTAAAGGGACTCTCCAGGCAAACAATTTTACTCACCTGGTTCCAGTGCCGGGAGCCTCGTGAAGCCGCGCCACCTATTTCGTCAAAATGGCGAAATAGGCGGGTGCGAGCAGGGAGCAATCAGACGCTTCCATTTGGAAGCGTCATTGCTCCCTTGTGCGTATGCGCGGCTTCGCCGCCCATGCGCACATACTTCAGAGGGCGGCATTCATGCCGCCCTCTGAAGTCCCGAGGGCACTACTGCGCATGTGCGCGAGCTGAGCTAACTGACAGCTCAGCTCGCAATCTTTGCAAGTCCCCTCTCCTCTGCTGACAGGCAGAAGAGAAAAGGCGTGCACACAGTGCCTTCTCTCTCCTGCACACGTCAGACATATTTTAATACGTCTGACGTGTACAAGGCCTTTTTAGGGCCCTGAACGATAGGAAGTCCCTCTGGTGGCCGTCTGAGTGACGGCCACTGGAGGTATTCCTATCAATCAATGTAAACACTGTATTTTCTTTGAAAATACAGTGTTTACATTAGATTGCCTGCAGGGAGCTATAGATCATACCTGAACAACTACATTAAGCTGTAGTTGTTCAGGTGACTATAGTGTCCCTTTAAATTATTCACAAAACACCATTCTTGGGGTTCACAAATTCTATTATCTCCTATGAATAAGAAACATTTCCACCAAAAAATACCTTATGGGATTTTTCACTAAAGTGAGAATTCAAAGAACATTTCAATGTTAAGGCCAATATAGCCGAATTGGAACAATTCTCCAGTTAGCTATGCTTCTAGTTTGGCTACTTTTGTCTAGAGTTTGAATTTCACTTTAAATTCTCACTCTAGTGAATAACCTAGCTGCTGATTGCACACAAAGCTAATTAGTATAAAAAATGTTTGTTTTTATAAATGAAAAGTATAATAAAAATTACATCGCCTTTAGATAAGTCAGAAATGCTTTAGTATATATTTATATATGCACATTTTGTATTTCATCTGTTTGTCGTAACCTGAATGTCTTACTTCCTATTCTAATTGCTTTTTAAATCAGGGTTCTACACCTCCCATGACGGTGTTTAAAGGGAATAAGCGCCCTTACCAGAAGGACTGCGTGCTTATAATTAATCATGACACTGGGGAATATGTCCTGGAAAAGCTAAGCAGCAGTATACAAGTCAAGAAAACCAGGTATGGCTCCTTACCACACACTTCTGAATATTCCCTCCTCACTCAGTGACGCTGTTAAAGCGGCACTGTCATGCCGTACTTACCTTTTCCTAATCGCTTCCTCTTCTTTTTCTCTTTCTTACTCTCACTTTTTCTTTTTCTTTTTTTTTATTATCTATTTTTAACTAAAAATGGAACACAAAGTAGGGACTACCTTGTCTTATCAATTTATCATACGCCTGACTTTCTTAGACACTGGACAGAGCTACAGTGTCAACCTCGCACTAGAAAAATAAACCACTGACATTGCTTTACCAAACATTAATGATACTTGACACTTCACAAAGAGAAACAAGAAAACTGGTTTGTCTCAGATATATCTAAGCACTTGATTGCAGGCAACTTCGATACCAAGAGAATTCATACTGAAAACAGTTTATCCAATACTAGAAAACTGAATGTGAAACATTTTTCCCTGTCTGTACCCAACAGCTCTACATCATAATGCAATGTTTACATTGTTTCCTATATGTTGTATTTTACTTTGTGAAAAACAAAATAAATTTAAATGTAAAAATAAAAATTACCACAATGCTGAAAAGATGGCACCTCAATAAAGCTCAAAATATAACATGTGAGAGTCCACATGGTGTCCACTTTTGCAAATGGAATGCCTTTATAGAGTGATTTAAATATCTGAGCTACTAAAAAGCCCCTTTAGTACCATAAACTCTGAAAGAAATTGGTACTAAAATGGCTGTATTATAAGGCTCAAATTTTAACTGTCAGTGTCTCAAAAATGCTGAATAGTCCCATCAAATTCATCTATCATATTTCTAACTGTAAAAACTGAAATAGTCAGGTCTTTTATATGGCATTGTAACTTTGCACGACAGTGCCAAATGTATACATTGGTGGTATTGGTTTGTTTTTTTCAGAACAGTTTCCTTAGTAAATTTGGGGGGTTTGATCACAGTGGAACATCTCAGATTTGAAAAATGCCCTGTTTAAATGTAATGTGTATGTAAAAAAAAAATATTTTTTACCACAAATGTTATAAAAACTTTGGTTAAAAAATGTCAACACATTAATGCACAATATACACCATATGAGATACACTGGAATGTCTATTTTTATAAATGGTAGGCCTTTTGGGGGGTAATTTGAACAATCAAACTGTGCTAATGCCCCAAAATGAGCCATAAGCCCATCAAATGCATCTTGTTTCAAAGTGTAAAACTGAAACTTAGATTAAGCATGTTAGAAAATCTATATCTTGTATTCATGCAGCAACTGTGAATTCCACTATCTACCAGTAGCACTTTTACTAGACGGATAATAGGAGATACAGACTTGAATGGAATCGCATAGTCTAGCTGGGTGGGACATATGAGATCTATACCCTTGGAGGCACTGTCTTTATTTCTCGCCCCTCCCCTACAGTACACAGACTTCTAAATAGGCAACGCCAGAATGTACATCATATTCCAGCACTATACAATTTTACTTAAACATCTGATATCAGATTCTGTGAAAGGGATATATAGTTTGAGGCATTCTTGTATCAACTTACTAACTCACATTGCCCTCATTTCAGAAATAATGATTTATTTTTGCTTATATCAAATAAGTGTTAAATTACTTATTTTTTTAATTACTCTTTCCATACAGGGTTGAGGGCAGCAGTAAAATTCAAGCTCGGATAGAGAAGCAATCTGCTCGTTCTTCTCAGGGCACTTCTCAGTTCAAAACCCCATCCAAGCTAACCGCTGGGCCTAAAATGTCTCCCTTAAAAGATCACCCTTCCCCGGAAACCCAGCTGGATGATATTAAGAGAGGTAAGCGAAAGCTCTAATATTGTTGTTTAACTGCAGTGTTTGCTTACAGACACCACTCCCAAAGCTTCACTTACACTACAGCAGGAAATGTAGTAATAAATTGTGATTTTGGGTTACTAATTCATTGAGAAGGATAACATCACTCTCGTAGTATTTGTGCAAATATTTGTCAAAATTATGGAATGTTCTGAACGGGGTATGGATATTAAAAGATCACACTGAGCACCGTCACAACTTTGCATAATTGCAAAGGTGCTTGTGCATTGCACACCAGGATTGTAGGCACATATAACTGCAGCCATTTGTAAACTGATTTGTTGGTTTGTTTTTTTCATACAACATACCACTATTTGGAGAGAAATCTAATCTAAGATTATCCTAATCTAGGCAAAAAAATAATGGGGGTTTAGTTACATTATATGATCATACATTGCATAAGCCTGCCACAACGTCAATGTACCCCATCTTTGGCAGGTCCTACTCTAACAGCCTAATGTCTGCTAAATGAGCTACTTACTTGGGGAAAAATTTCAATCTTGAGTTCTCTGCAGTACAAGGCTAAATGGGACGGGATTTTTTCCCAAAGTAAGTAGCTCATTTAGCAGACATTAGGCTGTTAGAGTAGGACCTGCCAAAGATGGGGTACATTGACGTTGTGGAAGGCTTATGCAATGTATGATCATATAATGTAACTAAACCCCCATTATTTTTTTGCCTAGATTAGGTGGTTTTTTTTTGTTTGTTTGTTTTAACTAACAAGATATGTCAGCACCAGAGTTGCTGTTTAGTAGATAAGGGAGTTCGCTGGATTTTCATTTTTATTGTGTAATAAAGTATAAGCTAATTACAGGGGCATTCTGCAATCCAATGTAGTGGCAATTGTGCAGAGAATTTTGCTGCACACAGTTTTATGTCAAACCATTTAGAAGTAATTTGAAAAACTAAAATAAAAACCAGGAGTTGTGCTTGTAAAATGTGCTGCTTTTTTCTTTTTCTTTTAAATTTCTGCATATATATTTTTTGTACGACATGGGCAGTGCTGGTTCAGTGAGGGTGTGTGCCATCATGCGTTCCTCAGCAAACTGAGCTGTACTGTTTTTATGTTGCTTAGAGTGTCCCTTTAATATACCTCACTGGCTACTGTCCAAAATGCTCTGTCTTCCTGTGCAAATGTGTCAGGAATATTAATACCATATTTTGTTCATATGTGTTTTGAATGTAAATTTTATTATTATTATTGTTGTTTAATAAAGTGAGTATTCAAAGTGAAATTCAAATTTAAGGCCAGAGTAGCCAAACTGAAAGCATAGCTGACTTAGATATTTTTAAAATGCATTGTCTATATAATTAATTTTAGAAGTAATAGTCCATATGAAGCCTGGAGTGTTTCTTAAGCATGTTTGTGTTGTTTGATTTTAATTTACACTTACATCAGGTCGTGTAAAGAAGTTGCAGACTAGAATGTTTTTCTAAGGCAGTTGAACTGTGGTCTTGTCACCGTAGAACTCCGAGCAGAAGTGGAGGTAATTGAGCAAATGAGTAGCAGCAGTGGCAGCAGCTCCTCGGAATCTGGGAGCTCTTCAGGGAGTGATGATGACAGCTCTAGCAGTGGCGAAGAAGATGACAGACATACATCCCCCACTCAGCAGCCATCCCAACAATACAGCAGCAAGACACCTGTTTCCAATGGTACTAGCAGACCTCAGGGAACTAATCAACTAATGAACACACTCCGTAAGTAAAATCCTCCTCCTCACCCATTAACTTAAGGTGTGGGGGGGCTGATTTTTTTTTCTTATGCAGTCACATTATGTTTTCTAATGCTGTACTGCACAGTTGGTGATGTCATCTGTGTAATTATTACCCATAGTGATATAATAATGTACTGATTGCCTCCATGCTGTCCGGGGATGTTAATCTCCGGCAGAAGCAGGACATGTCCAAGATAAGTGGGATTTACACTCTTGAGCAGCAGCTGCCAACATTTTAATTAAGCTTGTTCTCTGAAATAGCTACCTACCATCAGGCTTAATGCCCACTGATTTCAGGCAACCCTGGGGCATGTATGTGCCAGTGCTTTTCTAACACTGACGCCTTCTTATTGCCACCCTAATATTAATCTACCTCTTCTACCTTAAAACCCATACTGTCCGTTAACACCTACATTACACTAACCATTAATCGCTACTCCACCCTAATGCTTAGACTAACCCCAATCCACTCTAACACTAACCCTTAAATGGACACTTTAGGCATCAAAACAACTTTAGCTTAATGAAGAAGTTTTTGTGTATAGATCAAACCCCTGCAGTCTCACTGTTCAATTATCTGCCTTTTAGTAGAAATCACTTTTGTTCTGTTAATGCAGCTCTTGCCACACCTCCGCTGGCTTGGAGTGACACAGCCTGCATGAAAAAATGGTTTTATTTTCAATTAGATGTTAACTTTAGAAGTTTTTGTCTTCTACTCTGTACAGTGAACTTAAATCAGACACAGGAGGCTCATAGAATGCTAGGAACGGAGCAGGAGATAAGAAATTATAAATGAAACAGAATATACAATAAAGGAAGTTTAAACATTAGATCTCCCTTTACAAGAAGTGTTTAGGAAAGCTGTTTAAGTCACATGCCCGAAAGTGTAACAAGGACTGCATAAGCAAAGTGATTCAACTTCTAAATGGCATATAATTGAACAGTAAGACTGCAGATGCATTATCTATACACCAAAACCACTACATAAGATAAAGTTGTTTTGTTGTCTTTAATGTCCCTTTAAGCCTTACACTTACAGTAACCATTATCTAACCTCATTCCGTTATACTACCATAACACTCATACTATCCTTAACCTTAAACTACACTAACCCTAAATTTAACTCTAACACACTAACCCTATCCTGAAATATTATACAGAATAATGGGCAAGCATATACTAGGGGAAAATAATGCCATTTTGGCTTTCGGCAGACGTTTAAAACCACCTAACCTTAATTCTTGTGATTTATTATGATGTTTCCAGATACACTCCATAAAATTATTTCATATCTATCTAATATGTATCATCTCTCTGTCTCTCTCTCATCCACGCTGTGATACACAATATTGATAGGTTTAACAACTGCATCCTTCACTATCTATAGATCAGAACAATAGGGAGCTTCTAGAAATGGGGGACATTAGAAAGAAAAAAGGACTGCGGAAATAGTTTTAGGGACTCTAGAGGCAGCAGATTAAGTGCGCAAGTTAGTTTCTAGCTAGTTCGTATTTAGCTGCTGTTGAAGTCTGTTTTTCTATTAATTTAACAATATTTAAAAACTGCAATTGAGGTGAGATATTTGCATTTCTGTGCAGTTTTTGTTTTGTTTTTTCTTCGATGCCACAGGCTAACGTTTTCTATTTGGATTCTATATAATACAAATTCTCTTGTTAGATCATCATATATAAATAGCACAGCAAGTTTCTGCCTGTTAGAAATGAGATGAGTTTAATCATTGCTGTTTGAGCAGCGTTACACGGAAGAGCTGCTATGAAATGATGGTGGTGCAAGGCAGTGAAAGTAATGTGCTTTGCCTCACTGAATCTGATTTAACTTTACCTCGGAAGAGGTAATTTCCAATCGTTCTCATAGTATGAATTTAAATGTCACAAATATAAAATGGGCTTGCAATTTCTGCTTCAAAAATATATAACTCTATACAAGGTGTCTTGTTCATAAGTGGAGTCAGAGGTGTCTAATAAGCCTGCCTGTCATCTCTCTGCTTCTTCATTTGCATGGGTCAGTGACCGTGTGAGTCTGTGCAGACATAGAATCAAGAGAAACTGTCATGCACGTAGAATAATAAATAGTATCAGTTCTAATAATCACATGCCAGACAGCAGTGTGGCTCCATACGTCTGCAATCTTGGTTATGTTCCTATTCGTTTATGCTCGACTAAGATTGTGTTTTCTGGCAGAAAAGGAAACACATTGCATGTAGTGGGCTGTCATCTTATTGTAAGTGAGATATCTTTATTTAAATTGGAGAATACACTGTAACCAGTGTCTGGTGGCATACTTTAAACTGGGCCTGTCACCTCTAGCAACTTGGATTAATCAAATCAATGGGATTTCACATTTTAAAAAAATATTATATTTTCCAGTCTAACGGTCATTATGCTTATTATGCAAAAGTATAAAAAAAGGTTAATGTCCAAACCTTCTCCTGGCCAAAAATTAGATTAAAAAACAAGAGGCTAGGAACATGCTAGCCCCCTAAACCAGTAATGTCTGAAACATTGTCACTTTGCAAAAGTTGTTAAAAGGATCACGCTAAGAAACTTGACCACCACAGCTTGGTTTAGTGGTTACATTGTTTAAGTCAACATCCATTCCACCTAGTCTGGGTGACATTGATAGACTTAGAGCACTGGGCTAACCTACCCCATTCATTCTCAGTATGTCACAGCCGTTCAAGTTGGACGCCATTGACAATGATAATACAGAAGTGTAAATTCTGCATTTTTAGTGTTGCTTGGGAGTGGACAGTCTCTGGGAGCTGCAGAGAGCACTGGTGTCTGTCAAACCATATCTAAACAGTTTGACAAAGAACTGAGTGAATGAACTCAAAGAATTGGCCAACATTAACGCTATATTGAGCTTTAGTGGTTATGTTGCTTCACGTGTTTCCAAGCACTTTAATCACGTTTGCATCCTGTAGTGGTTATGGTGCCAAGTGTTCCCTGGCACCCCCTATTGTAAAGAGTGAAACAGTTTTTTAATGGTTTGACTTTTTACTTGAGGGCCACGGGACACTGCTCCCTGCCTCTGCACCATCTCCTGAGAGCCAGAAGTTATTCAGCAGGAATTTCCATTAGCTGATTGGCTGAGAGTGTCAGCTTCTAAAAATTCTCCATATTCAACCCTACTCTATTTCATCTGTCTTCTTTCTTATTTTAACTATCGTTTTCTCATCATTCCCTCTCCTTCTATTTTTATCTCCCCTGCTTATTACTTCTCCATACTACCTTCAAATTCATTCTCCCTCTAATCTTCTCATTGTGATTTATTTTTATTTTCATGGTCCCAATATTCCATTACCTTTTGCCCTTATATTTACCCAGTTAGTGATATTTGTATTCGAGCAGGGGTGGGTTTATATCCATGTGGTATGTCACTACTCTTTCCCGATCATAGCTTTCCCACTTAGAAACAGGCCGTACAGAAGGGAAAGAGGGGTGATCCACTCTCATAGAAAGAAAGCTATAGTTGTGGTAGAGCTATGGTTCCCATCAATGGAAGGTGAATACATTGTGATCGGCCTTCTGACATTATCTTACACTGGCAGTGTTTCTAAAATAAACGTTTATCAATCAAATGGCAACACAGCATAATCTAATTGTCTGCTCTCCTTTGTGTTCCACAAATTTTTAGGAAATGATCTTCAGTTAAGTGAATCTGGAAGTGACAGTGACGACTAAAGAACAAAAGCTTTTTGTTCATTCATATATTTCACATCCCTTTTAAGACATAAAAGGATTAATACCACATATTAGGAAATTCAGTACTGGCCCTTTAAACGCATGTCTCGTGATCATCCTCCATTAACTTAAACAATGAAAATGAAATATGTAGGGATCCCATCACTAATATGTTAGTACCCATGCAGGGACACAAGTAACATGCAGTTGTATACTTGGTTGTTAACTGGTGCTGGGTGAATCCTGCTTTATTCTAGAGTAGGACATAGAGGCAGATCTCTTGGTTGCAGGAGCCACTGAGAAGCTTTATGTAGGTTTCTGGAGAATAGAGCTATTGTGGCATATGCCTCTTATTTGGACATTGGTCAGCATACCCTGTCAAAAACTGCAGTCGTTTGTTGGAAGCTAACAAAGCGTTAATCCTAGGCATTCTGATTATGTAAATAAATACACATGTAGGATAGCACTCAGATATTAATTATTTCAAACACCAGCATTTTATAAATTAGCACATATAGCACTAAGCAAATGGAGCTCATTGGACGACAGGCTAATGGACCAGTACTGAAAACCCCTAATCATTGTCTGAAGCTATAAGCAAGTTGTCTGAATAAAGTCTCAAAATCCAATTAATCGCCATGCTGCTGCATACTTATACACTGGCCACAGGGGAATGCTCAGGATAATTGGAAGACTGTACAGAAGCCCCATATTTCGCACCATTTTGTTTTGATTTTTTTTTAGCCGTCTTTTGTGGCATATGTGTTTTTGAGCCACAATAGCTCTGGGACATTTTGCTGAGCTTCTGCCCATAGACTGAAAGTTGTACAACTCCACCACTGCTACCTGGAAATGGATTGCCAAGGAACAAGCTCCCACTGCATGAATGCTGCAACCAATATCATCGACAAGACATCAGTCTAGATATACAGTGCTACTCATTCAAATGGAATGTGCCACCAACCAAAGAATGTAATGGGATTCTGTGTTTAGAAATAGATGTAAAATGAATAGCCTTGCGAGTGATGGTATTTCTTTAGAGTGCATGTATTGACTGCTTGTCATTGAGAATATTCTGAAAATGTTTGTTCAGTCTTGTATTGTTTAGAAATGTGTGTCTAATCGTAACCAGCCCCTTGTGGAAAGAAAAATGATATGTTAAGGAAGAAACCAAAGTGTCTCATTATGCTGCATCTTTATCGATATAATTCCTATATCATGCACAGCAGCAAATATTGAATTCTGTATACATTTTGTATATGTGTTCCTAGTAAAAAAGATCGGGGGGAATGCAAGCTTTAGTGAGAAATTGCCTTGGCACCTCTTAAATCTCCATGCCTAAATCTGGTCCTCCATTATTATTCATTGTTTATCTGTCGTACAGGACTGAATATAACTTTTATATTAATTATCGTGCTGCCACAAGATAATGTTCAACTATGTAACTTTCAGATTTTTACAATTAATAAATGAGTACCAGGATGCACTCATCGCGTCCCTGTAATCATTTTATTGTGATTAAAATGTCATTGTGTTTGCTTAAAATATTACAATTTATTTTGCCCTTTACTACTTTCCATAGTATGAAAAACAAAACAGTGCACTTTGATTGCAACTAAATATAAAAAATATATTTTACTTCTTGAGTTTCAGTTTATTAATGCATAGTGGTATTAATAAGTATGAAATGATATGGATACATTTGGCATAAGTCAAATTCCCAGCGCTACAGTCAACTTCACTCCAGTTTAAGTTTAGCGTTGGCAGCCCCATGTCTTTTTGAGTATAACATAAGCCTGTTTTCCAAGTGCTATACAAATGAACATGCATGAAAAATAATTAGTTTTCTGAATGCAGTTTAATCATGTTAAAGGGGCATTTTTGGTTGTACTTTTAGTGTAATTAATAGCCAGTGCATTAGAAAACGCTTGGCGTAGGACCATGAATTAGGGAATATGGCTGGTGAGCAGTGAATCTGTGTTGAGGGAGCATAGCTTCAGAAGCTTGAATTTTGTTGTGCGGTGATGTGGACAGCATTTTTACTTACTCTGAAGCATCATCTTATCTTGAGCAGCATCTGGTTAGCTTAATTCTTGAAAAACATGAATGAAGATATTTGCACTTGGTAATAGAACCTTTGTGCAAATAGCTTCATTCGTGTTTTTGATAAATGAAGCTAATTGCAACCAAACCTACTGTACAGCTTTCTGTAGAAAGTACCAGACACTGCTGCAGTAAGCTTCATAAATCATAAAAAAAAACATAAATTAAGCTATAGAAACTTGTGTGATTTATATAGTCTTCCATTTGTCTGCATTCTCGCACATATGAGCTGTTTGAGCTCTCTTATAGAATATTGATGTCTGTCATAACTGTACTATTGCTTCTGAAACACATAAAATAGGAAGGGAAAATGCGTACATTCATTTATCTTCTAAAAATTAATTTAAAAGAAGATTTGTGCGTGGATGCCTAGACTGTGCTTTTTAAATTTTATTACTCTGCATGTTTTTTTACTTGCTGTTATATTTGTGAATGTAGTGCTAGCACATTTGTACAGTGGTTAATTTTACAAGGTCAGTGGCACTTAAATACATAACTATGGTTTGAACACTTCTATTAAAATTCATTTTTATACTATTAAATGTACTTTTTCTGCTGAAAGTAAAGCTCTAACATTAAAAATAAATTTAAGGTTGGAGTGTTTTTTGTTTTGTTTTTGATTGCTGGGCCCTGTGTTATTAAAAAAACATGCTATGTGGGAAAAGAGCTTCTCTCCCTTGTCAATCAATGCCTCTGCACACTGAGGCGCTGACTGACAGCTGAGAGAAAAACCTATTTTTCAATAGAGTTTTTTCCTAATCTATACATTGTCTAGCAAAACTGCTAGCACAATTAATAGATAAAATTGTATTCTCAATCTAACAAGCTGTTTGGGGCATAACAGGTGCCATTTAAGATCAGATTTGGATTGTTGATCTTTTGCCAATTTTACTTATAGTCATATTCAAACAATTACGTTTTCGAATAACTAAATTATCATTTGTGTGAGTAGAGATCTTTCCTATTTATGCTAATAGAATAGTACTGGTAGTGTCGCAATTTAAATCCCAGATAATACTTGTATACTTATGTCAACGATATTTTTATTTTTATTTTTTTTGGTTAACGGTACAACTAATTGGGCAATAAGAGTATTGACATATAATTTTCAACACAGCTGATCATTTTTAAAAGAGGTGATTAATCACCTTGCCCATTCTAACTTAGAACTTCAGGCCTGGAGTCTGGAGAGAATAAGACTCACTGATAAATTATTTTTGCATTATTCTATATTTTAATTTTGTTTAGAAATGTGTTATTTCTTCTTTTATTTTATTTTTTGTGTTCTTTAGCTAAAGTAAAGGCCATATCTTATGTATTATAATCTCTCAAACTGTACAGCCAATATATCTTGATAATTTTTCATTGCTTGTAGATAAACTCTTTATTACATTGTGTTATTGTCTGTGGATGTGTTTAAGTGCTATGTAAATGTAAAAGTAAACATCTTCACATTAATGTCTGCCTGCCTCTCTTCTTTTTAACATTGTCCTATGTTTTTGGTTTGTTTGTTTTTTCAAATAATTAACCCCTTAAGGATGGAGACAATTGTCCAAGTTCTGAACCAAATCAAAATCTTGAATTTGAGCTGTGTGTTTGTTCCACCATAATTTAAGGGTTCCTCTTCAAGTGCTCCCATACATATTATATTTAGTTTTTTAAATGACAGCAAAAGGTTTTCATTTAACATCCTATATGTATAGATTCATGGGGCTCCTGGTGTGAGCATTTAGCCCTGTAAACCCCAAAACTGCAGGGCGTTCCATGCTGCCTTACAGGTATTTACGCCCATTGTGTGTAGGACTGCATCGGATGTCCTAACATCGGGAACAGGTTAAAGGGAAACTCCAGTGCCAGGAAAACAATCCCTTTTCCTGGCACTGCAGGTTCCCTCCCACCTCCCATCACCGATTGCTTAAGGGGTGAAAACCCCTTCAGGTCACTTACCTGAGACCCCGCCGATGTCCCTCGGCGGTGGTTTCTTCTCGCCGCCGCTCCTCCCAGTCTATACGTCGGCCGGTTGGAGAGACTGATCCCGCCAACCGGCCGAGGAGACCTAATGCGCATGCGCGGCAATGCCTGGAGTCTAGAGAGAATAAGACGCAATGCCGCACATGGGCATTATAGCTCCCCATAGGAAAGCAATGAAAATGCTTTTCAATGCTTTCCTATGGGGAATTGAGCGACGCTGGAGGTCCTCACACAGTGTGAGGATGTCCAGCGACACTATAGAGCAGGAAGTGCCCTCTGGTTGCTGTCTAGTAGAGCAGGAAGTGCCCTCTAGAGCTGCTATAGAGCAGGAAGTGCCTTCTAGTGGCTGTCTAGTAGACAGCCACTAGAGGTGAAGTTAACCCTGCAAGGTAATTATTGCAGTTTATAAAAAAAACTACAATAATTACACTTGCAGTGTTAAGGGTAGTGGGAGTTGACACCCAGACCACTCCAATGGGCAGAAGTGGTCTGGGTGCCTGGAGTGTCCCTTTAAGCAATGCCAAGACATTATTTACTCCATATTATTGTCACCATGCAAGTGACCCGACAATGTTTCGACCCAGAGGTTCTTTGTCAGAATTCTCACTCACTAGTTACATGGAAATTTCCTGAAAAGCTTATTGCCCCTAGATCTAAGTATAGACTGTAAATGTGTCTCTCAAACTCTTAGCAAGAAACATGCAGCTTTTGTCTCCTAAGCAAAAACAAATGTAGCTTTTGTCTCCTTGTTAAAGGAACATGTTATTTATTTACATTATATACAGGCATAGGCAACCTTCGGCACTGCAGATATTTTGGACTACACCTCCCATGATGCTTTGCCAGCATTATGGGTGTAAGAGCACTATGGAGGATGTAGTCCACAACAGCTGGAGTGCTGAAGGTTGCCTACCCCTGCAATAGGTTAATGTGGTCTTCATTTATAAGCCCTCATTATTTTTAGTCCGAAATGTGTTTTCCTGATTAACCATAGCAGTGTGTGTGTATATGTGTGTGTGTATATATATATAAATATAAACATACAAATGGGGTTAGCTCTGCCCCACACAGGGCATTTTCAAAAGGGCCTAGCCAAGAATGATCAACCTCTTCTGTTCCCGAAGACCCAGTGTACAGCCCTTTTACCTGGGTGAACCCCTTTTAGAGAGTCTGACTCACTCTCTAATAAGGCAAATGAAAATGGTCACTGCAGCAAAAGTGTTCAAATTTTGATTTGCTGTTTGATTGTTTAAAGTCCCAGAGTCCAGCAGACTGAGCACACATTACACCAGAGGTTTATTATTCTAGTTATAGGAATTAGCCTTAACTATTAAGCCAATGTAAATGTGCCGGTTTATTGTTATTTCAATAATCCTCCTGCTGACTAGGGAACCCTCAGTATAAAATGTGGGATCTAGGAACTACTTTTTCCTATTTATATTTAACAAAACTTTACAAAAGGCAGAGCTTCAGTAAATCTACACATCCTTTATCAGGTCGTTCAGAAGAGGTTTGTAAGCGATACTCAACTCCTGCCACCATCTTGTTTCACAGAATGTCACTGATCAAGTCTACATTAGGCATGCTTGAAACCTGTCTTTCACGCATGAGTGTCTGGTTATCTGTCAGAAGAACATGGAGAATAGCAGAGTCTTGGATATAAACCTGTTGAGATGAAAACTGAAGCAAAGTATTTTCCTAAATACCGTATGGTGCTCATTGATGGAAATTGTAATGTACCGTATATACTCGAGTATAAGACGAGTTTTTCGGCACATTTTTTGTGCTGAAAAACCCCCACTCGTCTTATACTCGAGTCACTGTCTGTATTATGGCAAGTTACATTGCCATAATACAGACCAGGACCACCGGGCTCATTACAAAACCGGCGGTCCTGTTGGGGGCTGGCAGGAAGCGTTTACTTACCTTTCCTGCAGCTCCTGTCAGCTCCCTTCTCTCTCCTCCGTTCCGGTCAGCTCCCCTGTCAGCTCCACTGCAAGTCTCGCGAGAGCCGCAGGGTCAGAGCGTTGCCACAGGTTACCATGGCAGCACTCACACCGCGAGACTTGCAGTGGGAGCTGACAGGAGCTGCAGGAAAGGTAAGTTACAGCTTGCTGCCAGCCCCCCTCCTACACAGCCCATGCCGCTCGACCACCAGGGAGTGGCCATGTATCAAGCAGGGAGGGGGGACGAAAAAAATATAAATAAAAATTAAAATAATACAAAATTTAAAAAAAATTTAAATAATGGAAAAAAAAATAATACAAATGCCCACCCCCCACCAAGGCTCTGCATCACACACACAAACACACACACACACACTGCATTCATACACACACACTGCATTCATTATATACACACACTGTAAATAAATACTCAATTAATATAATTTTTGGGGGATCTAATTTTATTTAGAAATTTACTAGTAGTTGCTGCATTTCCCACCCTAGTCTTATACTCGAGTCAATACGTTTTCCAAGTTTTTTGGGGTAAAATTAGGGGTCACGACTAATATTCGGGTCAACTTATACTCGAGTATATACGGTATCCTTTTGGATGAGGGATCAAAAAAGTGACAAAAAAGATGCTTAAAGGGACACTATAGTCACCTGAACAACTTTAGCTTAATGAAGCAGTTTTGGTGTATAGAACATGCCCCTGCAGCCTCACTGCTCAATCCTCTGCCATTTAGGAGTTAAATCCCTTTGTTTATGAACCCTAGTCACACCTCCCTGCATGTGACTTGCACAGCCTTCCATAAACACTTCCTGTAAAGAGAGCCCTATTTAGGCTTTCTTTATTGCAAGTTCTGTTTAATTAAGATTTTCTTATCCCCTGCTATGTTAATAGCTTGCTAGACCCTGCAAGAGCCTCCTGTATGTGATTAAAGTTCAATTTAGAGATTGAGATACAATTATTTAAGGTAAATTACATCTGTTTGAAAGTGAAACCAGTTTTTTTTTCATGCAGGCTCTGTCAATCATAGCCAGGGAGGTGTGGCTAGGGCTGCATAAACAGAAACAAAGTGATTTAACTCCTAAATGACAGTGAATTGAGCAGTGAAATTGCAGGGGAATGATCTATACACTAAAACTGCTTTATTTAGCTAAAGTAATTTAGGTGACTATAGTGTTCCTTTAACAATTTTTTATTTAAAGAAAACCATGAAACTTTCCTGTTATCCAGCTCAGAGTCCTGTTTGCTACCTGACCCACTTGTGATATAAATAACATTGATGATGTACTTCACATATAAAAATACTGCAGACAGGACACGATCTGCCAATCCAGTGCTTTACATAGAGACACACTGAATCAAATTCTCTATGTGAAGCCTAATTGATATCCACTTTCATTATTCTTTGTTTGGTGTAAGATATTAATGTCATCTAGACATTTAAACATCTAATATTCTAATAATAAACATTAGGTTTTGTTATATAGTGTTTGAACACTGTCCTACTCTTGAGGGCCAACATACCACATATACCCCTTCACTCACTCCTGTTCTTTGTTTTTGCTTGTTACCATAGGGGTGTGCCTGCCTTAGGGCAGACTAACATGTCGGATCCTCAGTCTATGACTGAGGACCCGACACAGGAGGGAGCCCGGCGGCTTGCCCACAACGCCGCCGGGTAAGAGGCCCCTCCTGTCAGTTTGCCCTGACGGAGATCCAGCCTCTGTTTGCAGCTCCGCCGGGATTGAGCTGCAGACTGAGGTGTCTCGCGATCTCCAGCCTGTCAGAGCGCTACCACGGCAATGCTCTGCCTGGAGATCGCGAGACTCACCATGTGGTCTGCAGCTCACTCCCAGCGGAGCTGCAGACTGAAGAGAGAGGGCGCCCACTTCTACCCCCTGTCACTGCCCCTCACCCCCCTCTACCCCCTGTCACTCACTGCCCCCCACCCCTGTCACTACCCCTGACCCCTCTACTCCCCCCTGTGCTTCTACCCCAATCCCTGTCGCTGGCCCTCCACCCCCATACCCTCTGTTGCTGCCCCTCCACTCCCCTACCCCCTGTTGCTGCCCCTCCACCCCCCTACCCCCTGTCGCCCACACAATCATACACACTGTACCCTTCAAAATTACACACACTGTACCCAGGGCCGCCATCAGGGGGTGACAACCATGATGCTTGTCACGGGCCCGGCGGTCCTGAGGGGCCCGGACTGCTCTGGCAGTCCTGAGCAGTCCGGGCCCCCCAGGACCGCCGGCCCCACATTCCCTCTAAGCACACAGATACCGAATATCGCTATCTATGTGTGCAGCCGCGGGCCCCCGGCTCCCTGTACTTGCAGAGGGGGCCCAGCAGACTGCAAGTGTACTTACAAGCTCTTCCCTCTCTGTAACTCCCGCGAGATCCGCGGCCGTCGGAGCGTTGCCACGGATTACCATGGCAACGCTCCGCGAGGCAAGCATGCCGCAGGTCTCGCGGGGGTTACAGAGAGGGAAGAGCTTGTAAGTACACTTGCAGTCTGCTGGGCCCCC